TGTATAGCTGTGAACCGTTGGTGTAGCTGGGGTGAGAAGGAGGGGTTGTTTCATCCCCCCCATCCCATTTTTTTCTCACTCTTCTATGCGCACATTTATGCGCACACATATAAACGCACATAAACTAACTATGGTGAAATCTCCCAGCCCATGAAAAACAAAACGAAAAAACCTTCTCGCTGCGTTCCTGCCTTGAACACCACTGGGTTTCGATCCAGCTTAGTCGCAGTTCGAGCAGTATAGGGAAGAAACCCAGACACCAGGTGTAAAAATAATTGATTGCACAGGGCAGGTTTGTGCAACAGTATGCGGCTGCAACATTCCGAATCAAGCGATCGATTGTTCTCATTGTTGCTTGTGTGGCTGTTGATGTCGCTTCCCACAAAGTGAATGCAGATTTTGTCACCACATACAGCGTTTCTGGAAATTATATTGTTTCGGCTCGTAGAACACCACGATTTAATTAATTACCCAGTGAATATTGCGTGCACTTCGCTAATGTCGGCTGATTCTATACAGCGGCAACATTTCATTCGTTCGATCTTAGTGCAATAATTGAGTTGACAAGTTCACACCGTTTTCAAAACGAAAGACTGGAGAGATTTCGTCCGTCAACCTTGTTCATCTGTGGCTAAGTCTTCATGAAAACTCGTTCTAGAACTTGTCTTCGGTACAAGCAGCATAACTCGCGTATGCCCGTCGGGAAAATATATACACGCACGTATAAACGCGCAACTGTGTGTGGTTGTGAGCGGTGGAAGGGGTGTTCTATACGGCGTGGCATTCTGTATTCTCTCCCGTCTCTTTGACAGCGTTCGCGTGGCGAGAAATTACGAAACCCGATCGAAAAGCAATTTCCGTGTTTCTCTCTGTCTCCCAAGTTCCTTAAACCATACGTATATAGACGTCGATGCTCGCTTATTCCGTTTCAGATTGTAAAAAAGCAGAAAAAAGCCCGCCATGTTTCGCTTCTCGAGCGCCGTATACAGCTTATAGCCCGTCTATAACGGTCGCAATATACCGTTGCAGGCTTAAGATAACTAGAGAGGTAGAGAACTGGCCTCCGTTGCCCGGCCAATTTGCTCTACCGCGTTGTTTGTTGTCTACTGCACAAGCTTACGACGCAGGAGTTTCGTATAGGCGTTGGCCTCGAGTGGCTTTTCCTCCATACTCTCGATGGTCTAGCGCACTGCTCTAAGCTCTGCGTACGCGTATGTGTGTGTGTATACTTCGTCGCATCTTGTTGTGGCGCCAATAATGGATCGGGCGCACATTGGCCGCGCGATTTGCCGCGCGTGGTCGTCTGTCCAAAATGGGAAAACGGGGTCACTGGTCCAGGTAAGTATAGACCCACCTCGCGAATAACGTCGTTATTTGGGCGTTGGTGCAGAAATGATGTGCTCGAAAAGGCGTGCACCAAACAAGTTGAGCGTGTGTTTTCAGTATAGGTATACGCTCCATACCACATAGATAAGAACAATTAGTACGGAGAACCCAAGGGGTATAACTTTTTGGTAACTAGCCTTATAGCCGAAGTAAGCCAGTATAATGAAAACAAAGGAAAAAGTGTATAGGGATCGAGTGAACTGTGAGTGTATATATATATATATATATATATATATATATATATATATATATATATATATATATAATATATATATATATATATATATATATATATAGAGAGAGAAAGAGAGGGAAAATCAAGTGAATAAACAAAGAACTGGCAGCTGACGAACCCACTACCTCCGTCGCGAAGCTCTGACGATATATCTGGGGCGATAGCTTTTGTGATCCGGTCCATTATTTTTTTTTATGGATTCGTGTGTATGCATGTACTGCACAGTGTCAATTTTTATGAAAGGGAACACGCGAGCGCGTGGCCTGCGCTCTGCTGCGGCTGCCTACAGCACCATCAGCCGACAGATAAAGAAAGCGCATCCGCTTTTGGCGACATCGCCCGATGCGATACCGGAATTGGGGCACAATTTAGCAGCTCTTGTCAAACGGTCATGCCTTGATGTTTTGTTTGCTAGCAGATGGCGCAAAAAGCGGACGCGCTTTCTTTATCGGTCGGTTGATGGTGTTGAGGCAGCCGCAGCAGAGCGCAGGCCACGCGCTCGCGTGTTCCCTTTCTTAAAAATATACACTAGAGTGTGTTGGAGGGGAAGTAGGCGCGGGGAGGGGGGAGGGGGGGGGTGGACGTCGAGGCGTGTTACTAGCCCTTCTCACACATACCACCCTCTTCCGTGCAACCATTTTCTCGTCTCGTTCAGTTCCACTCCACGAAAACCGTCCGACATCGAAGCTCAAAGCGCGCGAGCTTGTTTGAGTGGCTGGCGAGATGACGTGCGTCGACATCATCATCATTTAACATCTTCATCTCGAACATCATCATCATTACCATCATCATAATCTTGTTTCTGTTTCTTAGTTCTGTTTCTCTGTGAGGTCATAGACATGCTGGACTATTATTACTATTATTATTATTATTATTATTATTATTATTATTATTATTATTATTATTATTATTATTATTATTATTATTATTATTATTATTATTATTATTTAAGACTAAAGTGCTGATCTGTTCCGTTGCTTCTGAACTCGGCCCTTCGAAATGCGCCCGCTTCGACGTTAACGGGCATCGTTGTGGCAACACTGAGACTGCTGTCTTGTCAGCGATGGGCGACCATACGAAGTCAACCGCCTCAATCAGGGCTGTGATAGATTTTCTTAAAATTACAGGACTGGACAGCATACTTGAGCGAAACCAATGCGATGTGGTTCTTAAATATATATGCATGACGTTTTTCTTTCCCCATCGTCACCCATAATCACTCTTTTCCCCCTCCCTTTCCCCGATGCGGAGTAGCAGGCTACAGCGCACTAGTGCAGGCCGACCTCTCTGCCTTCCAATAATTCATCTCTCCCTCCATTCCGGCCCCGTGATCGCTCTGTATACTCTCAAGCTCTCTAATTTAGATAACGCTCACGACACTTTTGCTTCTGCCGCATCACTTGTAAGTTGTATGGACGGATGTTGCGTTATGGTGCACGTATAGACGCCGTTTTCGAGGAGGAAAGGAGGGTTTACGAGCACTCGGGTTATTGACTTGGCTCTTTTTCGAGGAAGGTACACGGGAATAGCCCTCCTGTGTATACGGTGCTATAGATAAGACGACAGCGTCTAACTGTACCTGGGCTGTATAGCGCGGCTCACTTGACGGAAAAACCAGTGCACAGTCTCAGCTTGCGCCTTCCACGCCACGATAGCCTGGAAGGCGCGTATTCTTGCAGTAATCGCCACTGCGCACGAGTGCCGGAAGATGGTATACTGATAACGCCGTTTTTTCTTCATTGCGCTTATACAACGCGCTATATTCATTGCTTAACTCAAACACGTGACGCTCTTCTTGCTTCATTGTACGCGATGTTTTTCAATCGCTTTTCGTCCATGCATATAACCTGTCTCCTCGAGTGTACTCTTAAGGCTCGAAGGGAATAAAAGCGTGCATATAATTGCCCAAAGTATATCGCTAAGTGATGTAGTGATGGGTGTTTCGCGATTCTGATTGAATATCAGCGAAGATCAAACTCAATCGCAGCGGCCCGTCATTTCAGTGCCCGAGGCATACATTCGAGTATATACTGTATGCGACCAAAACGAAACAAAACGAAACAAAAAAGTGAGGAAAGACAGTAAGCTCTGGCCTGTTCATCGAAAAACGGTTGGCTCAAAGGGGTCGCGGCGAATGAAAATGTCGCTTCTGAAACGACTGCACGCAACCGCCGACAGCGTCACGTACTAAATTGGTTATGTCACCGTAAGTTGAGTAGACCTAAATGGACGTTTTGCCTATCGAGCATGTTCTTTCCTCCATGCTATCGGGGTTCATGGAACTCCAGGTGCGCGCAAGGGACTCACATAGGCGTCTTTGCCGTATACGTGATCCGCGTCTATACCCTCCTTGACTGACGTCACCCAATTGGTGTTTCCGCATTGCCGCTTTAGGAACGTACTTAACTCTGGTGCAGTGATTGAATAATTTCCTGCGGTTCGTGCGACGTTCAGGTTTTCTTTATACTTCCTGAAGTCCTGAGAACACAGTACCGAGAGTCGTCTATATTCATACGCTAGCCGCCCGTCAATTTAAGGTAGGGTGGTAGCGGTCAGTGTGGGTCCTCGGTGATTACGGCGAGCCCGGACCTGCACCTTCGTTCTAGTACCCACCGTTGCCATGCACAGCCTATGATCTCTTCCGTCGCACCTTCAGGTTGCCCATTAGATCGCTTAACGCGTGCGATAGGTTCTGCCTGCTCCGATCTCGGGGGTCACTGTTCACCTCGCCTTCGTTACGCCGTTTAGATCCTCGTGTCAACTCGCGCACCGTGCCCCTTAATCTCAGAGGTCGCGGTACCTCTTCGCTATGCCGTTTAAATCCTGCTCTGAGACATGCGATAGCCGCCCAGATCACGGAGGTCACGGTGCACCTTCATTGGACCACTAGATAGATCGTTCTAGCACGCGCCGGGCCCGCAACGAAGGCACGCGCGCGACGCCTCTTTCCTGGTGGCGACGCGAAAAACGCCCGCTTTCGCCGATATCACCGCTCCTCCTGCTGATGCTGCTGTCCAGAGGAGAAAACCGGTTGCCTTCTTTCTTTTTTTCCTTCTATCAGGGGCCGGCCAACAACAAGCCCGGGCGCTATTAGTAGGCATTGCCCGAACGCTTGCCCTGGCGAAGAAAAGAGAAAGCGCCGGTGTGTGCAAGGCTATATGCCTTGCGTGCCTGGCAGGCTGGAGGGGGGAAATTTAGCAATCGCGCTTTGCCGAGGTATAGGACACGCGGCCGCAGCGCAAGTGAAACGAGCTGACGTGACTGATGGCGATGTTTCCAAGTTAAGGAAAGAGGATGAGGAGCAGGAAAAGAGGAGGAGAAGGCAGCGACTCGCGGTCCCGTCCTGAGCAGTCTTGCCCGCTTTGCTGGCCGATCAAGCAGCGTGCCTGACGCTGGTCTCCAAAGGACTATGTGTGTGCATCAGTGCGCGCGCTACACTTTGAATGTTTCGTGCTCTGAAACGTCGTAAAAACGAAGTCCTGCCCGGCCGGATCTTCTAGTTATTCGATCCCCTGTTCGTGCCTGGGATTATCTCATCTCATTCGCCCAGTTCCCTTCTCGGACGACTGAACAGCCACAGTTGCGCAAGTCGGCGAAGCTCCGTGTCGTCTGAAACCCAGCTCTCGCGGCTCACTTGAGTCATAGCGTGAGTCACCCGAAGAAAAAACCACCGCTGCTGTTAGCAGTCGTTGCCTCTATAGGTGCCTCTATCGTTATCTCTCATCCCTCGCCCTTTTATCTCTGCTATCTCAGTGTTTGCAGAGATTACGCGGGGCTTTGTAAGGAACGACGCCAAGCTTCGTGTGCGAAACTTTTTTTTCTGCTCCATTGTTGCGGAGAGCATCACCTCTGCGCGAAGAGCGTGCGCTTCTTTCGTCTCAAACTATCGAGGCAAAACGGAACTTTCCCGTGGCTCGTCCAATCGCTAGTGCGAGTGCTCTCAAGAGTGTTTTTGAATGCTCGTGCGATTCGTAAACCCATCGTGCTAGCCGTTTCTGTGATAACGGCGTCCGGAGACGCGAACGCTTCATATGGCAGTGCAACTTGCGTCCAATTGAAGATCTGCTACAGTGCGTGCGACAGTGTTGTCTACCGTCAACCTGTTGGGTGTTTACTGTTCTGCTTGTATAGCTTGTCTTTGAGAAGGAGATGGTGCGTTCGATTTTGTGCATTCGAGTGGACGAACCGTGCGCGGTGTGCGAGTGCGGCGTGTTCTGATTGGTCTATCGTTTTCTTCGAGGCACATTCGACGCTGACGTGCGCGACGTACTTTGCGTCGTTGCCAACTTCAGTGTGACCAATTGCAGCGTCGAACGGCCTTCAGTACGTGTATCTCGCACATGGCGCGAGCCTCTCTACGTGTCTGAAGGTGTGCGAGTTGTGGGAACCTCTGAAATAACGTCGGAATGTAGTGGCTCGGGCGCGAGGTTGAAGAACGAAAAATGCCCTAGGTGCCGGCGAGGCCATGAAGCGCTTGGATATTTGCGTTTAAGGTAAGTGGCGCACACTCCTCAAAAATGTGCTTCGAGACTTCAAACCGAAAGAAAATATTATTTTTTGTTTTTATTTAATTAATATTTTTTACGAGGAGGTGGATGCCATCAGTGCATACAGCGGTATATATAAACATCTCGCTGGACTTTTAGCAATGTTCTAAGAGACTGTTACTCAAGAGCTGGAGTCACCAATTGCTAAAGCAACTGGGGAATCAGCAGGTGTAACAGATAGTCAGTGCAATCGTTGAAACATGCGGAGCGAAGAAAGTGATTCTTTTCGCGATCGACCTCATTGTATGAGACCCATCTCACCCGTTAAATCGACTCTAGGTCTAATTAAATGAACATGATTTGCCTTCTGATGTGCGTGAGTAACCCAGGCGTGTATGTGTCGCGTGTGCGTGCGTGCGTGCATGTGTTTTTTTTTTTCATTGCATTTGTGAACGTGCGTGAGCGCCTTGTCCGATCCTACGTGCATGATGGTCCGTCGAAATTTCATTATTCCGTAGAGCACCGAATGGACCTTATCAGCACATCCCACACCTCGGACCCATCACACCTGTCTATAGCAGCGCATGCTAGGGACAGGTATTGTCGCAGCGTACTACGGCACGAGTGTGATGGTTGTATTAATTGTGACGCTCGTCAGTTTATTGCTGATAGCTGTGATCAACAGGAGTGATATTAACTTTCTTTTTGCGTGATACAGTAGGCCGTAGCCTATCCGCGCTTTGTCGCTTGAGAAGTGTACTTGCTGAGAAGGCTTTACTTTGCGGTTCTCTTCAACTAATTTTGTACCGCACGTTAACATTTGGCCTCAACATACTTGAGATACACATTCATAACGTACCGATTAACGTAACGCACAGATTAAGCATGTACTTTCCTAATGTACCCGTACCCCAACATGGAGACCTTGGCGTGTGGCGGTTCACCTGATTCAATGTGCTTCTTGAGTGGTATTACCTTCTGTGCGTGAATAACCAAAAAAAAAAAACGATATTTGATGTTCCAGTAGCCTTAGCGGAACATCAGACTTCGCCGCCCACTACGTTTGTACTCCAACATGGCGGTTTCGATGACGTCAGCGCAAGCCATCTGTACGATAATCCAATGTTGGTTGTATGGGTCGCACGCCGCTAGCAAACAAACTGAATGAGACTGAATATCTTCTCGCGAATTTCATGCATATCAGGTGATGCAGTCGCACGTGGCAAAACTCGCACCTATACATTCTCGGTAAAACTTTCGCTAAACTGCGCGGAATCTTGTCTTCTTCTGCTGTTGATACACACAGATGAACGCCGCTAAAGAACGTAATGACCGGTATAACGAATGATTTCTTACGTCCCGAACGTTATCGTGCTCGACATCTAAAATTACGTGAACTGTGTGAAGGAGTATTTCGAAGATCCCGAGCTGTTTATTGTGTAAATGGCTTTCGTTCTCTACGTTGTGTGGGTAAGTCAGCCACGAAACACTGCATTGAACTCGCGACGACTGCCCCATTTTATAGATTAGTCTCACATAAACATCATCATGATCATCATCGTCAAGCTTCAACTCCACCTGAGACCATGCAGGGTGAAACGTACCTAGGCTGCAGAGTATACTACAGTCTCTCGAAAATTGAAGCTTAGTACAGAAAAGTGAACAGTTACTTCTTCACCAACTTCACTAGGGGATCAACAGCACTCTCTCTCTGTCTCTCTCTACCATGAGTGTTTGGAACGTCTCAAGAAGGCTATGCTTTGTGCTCGCAGCGTTGTAGCCTGGTGAAACGTATGATAGATGGAGGCATGAAAGAGCAAAGGAAAGCTGGGTAAAAGACCAGAGTAGGCTGATTCGGGGATTTACCTTGCTTTTAATTTGTACTATGCCCACTTCGCGTTCGCCTTAGCCAGTTCCGGACGTGTTCTCCGGCATTCTATACCATAAGTGCTGTTGAGCTGACCCGAAGAAAATAAAGAATAAAGAGCGACAGCGGCTTCTGGGAAAGAACAGAGAGAGAGAGAGAGAGAGAGAGAGCGACGGGACGCAAGGAGGGGGGGGGGGGGGGGAGAGAGACGTGCGACTTGCGAGACTCGGTGCAATGCCATGACGTGTCCGGCAGGCTTGCTCGCGCGAAACCCGATGCCGCAGTGCTTGCTCCTTTTTCTCTATTTTCTATCTTTGCATAGCGTGCACTGCCTAACGCCGTTTCAGAGCGTCCTTATCGGCAGCTGCACTGCGCCTCGCTCGGCGGTTTTGTTCTTTTCTGGCTGCGAGATAGGCGCGTCGGAACTCAGCCGAGGTAGGGTGTGCTAGCCGTAGCCTAGCTAGCGAGTTAGCTAGCTTGCGCATTCGGATTCCCATGCCTCGTGAGCACACCCGCTTTGTGGTAAGCAAGGGTGTCGGTTTCGGCGTGTTATACGAGCAAGAGCATTCGACGTCTGGTGAAAAAAAAAAAATAAGAATCTTAGGTGCAATGGCGTGGGATTCCAGACTGTACGATTCAGCGTTCTCGTGACGTCGTCGGGACAGCGAGAAAGAGAGATCCTGTGAACGTCCAGAGAGGGTTAGAATTTGAACATTCTATGAATGTTCAAGTTTTTCGTATCGAGACCAGTAGGCCATTTCATTATATTGAAGCTAGCTTTCCTGTTATGCAGTTTGCCCCAACTAATCGCGACTACATAGTCACTTCTGCAAACAACATGTTAAAGCACTGCTATAGCTTGCGCTATGATGCTATGTCGCGGAAAATATGGACGGAGCTCTCTCGACATGAACGCACATAATAGACAAGCCCTTAACACGTGCGATTGGGACCTCGTTCCCGCTTTAACCACGAGAGGGCCGCCGCTAGTTTGGTGAATATGCAGCGCAGGGAAGCGCACTTGCAAATTCTGAAGGGTGACACTTGAGGATTTCAGTTGAAAATAACTTCCAGGGTGCTTGCAGCCCACATAGACGAACGTGAACATTCGTGGGTTCCAAATGTTCGTGTTACAGCCGTGCGATGCGACGACGAGGATGAGCTACCTATACATGGGCTGAACTTTAACGCGGTGTTTTAGCGCTTGTACTCAAGGCTTGGTGACGATGAAAACTTTATGGGGTCCAGGAAAGACGCAGGGGACACTCCCCTGTGTCGTAATGCCCGATGTATAGTCCGGTGGGATTTTATTGAGTCACATGTCAGCCTATTCGCTTCGCTGCTCTGCGATCGATGTGTCAGCATTTTCGAGACATGCCGCGTTCGTTTCCGGTTTTCTCACCACCTTGGATGTGCCGTGTGTGGCCTCCGCCATTGTCTGTGGTCGTTGAGTGGGACAGTTCTGCAGAGTGCCCGTTTCCCGCGGTGTGCAGTTTGGAAGTGCGTGAGTCTCCAACAGTTAATCGTTGGACGCCTTTCCTTTCTTTCTCTGTCTATCTCTACGCGTAGTTCGTTAAGTAGATGTCCCGCCGCATGTCGCTAGAGCACTGTGTCGTTGCATAAACATAGCGCGTTGAGTGAACGCTCTACACAACTTTATAGGGCCGTAGCCACAATTTTTGCAGCGCTTAGCACTGTGCAGGAGTTCGGCTTGTCGTCCATCCGCTGTGTCACGTCGCCCAGTCACGCAGTGGTCAGTGCGATTCTAAAACAAGGCTTCAAATGCTGAAACTCCTGCGCAGTATACCCTAATAAGGCCTAAAGTGATATAAACTACAGAAATAACCAAGCATTAATAGCAGTAATTTGCCCGAATTCGCGGATGCCTCTGAAGGATCCGGCTCATGCTCACGCCTCGAAACAGAGGCGGACACCGTCTCGCTAAGCGCGCTATTACCAAAAATATCGCTGAGCCGTGCTACGCACTTTCTGAGGTTTCAGGGTAGTGAATATACATTAGGCGCATGAATTGTATCTACGCTGAGACTTACACAGGAATAACATGCATTGGCACTGCATTAAACACAAAATTAGCGCTGGACTAGAGTAGTATTAGCGCAATACATTAAGCGCTGGGTTTACTTTATTTTTCAGAGAAGGGGGGGGGGGGAAGTGTGAAGGGGAATTTTCACTAATTTTCGTGACAGTTAAATGACGCCTAATCTTGCTAAATTTACGCTCCAATATTGTGTATCCCTTACAACTGTTAACTTCAGCTATGCCCCATTTTCGTGTCACTTCTTATACTCTTTTTACTGTGTAAAGTGGGAAAAAGAGAGGTTTCCTGACGTATTGGTCAACGTTCAACTTCCGGTTTGCTGAGGAGCGACTTCTGGTGTGGTCTATGAAAAAAAAAAATAACGTCGCCAGGTGGTGGCGCCACGAGAACCGAGAGATGCGAACTCATGACGTGGCCACGGTTCACCCATTTATAGACGTATACCGCAGATAGGAAACAAGTACGCGTCGCGTTCGCCTCCGGCAAAGGCCGCGTCGACGACCCAGTATTGCTCAGCCTTCCCGCCAGGCCTTGCATCGTGGCGCTCCCGTCGCATACCTAGTAAAGCTCCAATTTACGATCTTTATATGTGTGCACCGCAGTTTGTGTATCGCTACCACTATGTCGTAACGGGTATAGTGATTGGCCTGCCTGCTTATGTATAACCGGTATGTTTCCGTCGCCCAGCGCACGCTCTCTGAGTCTCAGTGTTGCTTGACGTTCAAGGAGATGCATGACGGGCGAAAGCCGGCGCTTCCGGCGACCTACGCGCTCAGCGTCAGCGTCGAGGGGGTGGTCTTTTTTATTTTTATTTGTACGTGAGATTGCGCTTCTCAGTCGACTGGTTTCATTTTAGCGCTTGTCTTCTGTGCTTGCAACTTCTCAATTGTTCTAGCTGTGCGCCGCGTAAATGATATGGAAAAGGTACATAATTGGTAGACAAGTCGATTGTTTTCATGATCCTGAACGCAGACGTGATATTGATTGCATAATGCATTGGTGTTTGCACCCGCCACGGTATTCGCATGGTGCTTGACTACGTACCCGCAGGTGGCGGGTCTGAATCACGGCCGCAGCGGC